ATTCTGAAGGCAAAAGGGGGTCCAACCCATTACTAGCGTGGTGTACCTAATAAAGTGACCGGTGAGTGTATATGCTCACTCTTTCATTTTACGACATTACTAGACATTTCAAAAGCCACGTGTACTGTTACAGACAAAACATCCCATTTTCTATTCATTAGTAGGGTCAGATGTTGGCAAAAAAAATCAATCACACAACTTCTTACAACCGTTTGATCTGTTAACACATTATCTGTTAGAAGAGATTTAGTATTTAGCACGTTCATTTCACTGCAAGGTATCATGTGCATTTAAAGTMATAAAAAAGTTAGACAGCACCATTGGATGCTTTGTACTAATAGCATTATGCTAACATTAGCCGTGTTTCCATCAAGGTTTTTAATGCRCATTTTGAAGTATCGCATCAGAAAAGGGGGATGGAAACGGCTTGATTCGAAAAAAAACTTCCTCTAATTCGCATCAAAGTTGATACGCTCGCTTGAGGCGGTTTTGAGGTTTTTCGAAAAAGAGTTAATGTGCAAAAAGGAGATGGAAACACATTTTTCGAATCAGGTTTGACGTAGCGAACATTTACCTCACATGTTGATCAGCTGTTCCCGCTGTCTGTCCGAAGCCGGTCCCGGTACCAGAGCGAGTGCAACCACGACTCGCAGCTGCAACTTTCATCCCGCTGTCGGCGTCTTCTCAGTTWATCCCGTAACGTGAAAAGAATTGCATTACTTCCTCTTACAGTAAGTCTCCCGACTGCATGTAAAATCACCAAAACTAGTTGATGCCAGAATAATTACAACTTTCCCGACAGTAGCAACAYGTTCCTGATAACTTCTCTCTATTTTCCTGAGATGCGACTTTTACTTCCTGTATACTACACCCATGCGTCTGACGTAACTGATTCACTTCAAGCCAGTTGATGGAAACACGTCTATTCACATTTCTTTGTTTTTACATTTTTGTGAATTTTTAAAAATTCGCTCAAAATTTGAATTAAAATTGGACGGAAACACGGCTATAGTTTAGACGTAATCACGCATTGCGTAGCCTCGTTTAGTCGTATCAAACTGTCGAGAGGGAAACTAGATGGAAACAGTCTAGATTCGAATTTTTATTTATTAAATTTTTTGCGAATTTTGAAAAGTTCGATAAAAAAATCACTCTACAACTGGATGGAAACACAATTACACAGGCATGAAGTCAGGGGACCAGAAGTAGACCCACAGCTGCTTGGCTTCTTTCACCATGGGCAACTCCARAGTAGAGTAGGGTCCAGCCCCTCTTGAGATCAGTTCCGGAGCCCATGCTGTGCATCAAGGTGAGCCCACCTGTGTCTATTGGTACTTCTTAACCTTRCGTACAAGCTCAGCCTCYTTCCCCACCYGAGAGGTGACGTTCCATGTCCCAAGAGCCAGCTTTGTTATGCTAGTTGCAAAGCGGCAAGGYCCCAGCCTTTGGCTACTTCCCATGGCATCCTGCATCTGACTCATATGAGCCCTCCCGCTGGTGGAARGCTCACATTAAGCCATTTGGGCTCATTTGGGCTGATCCTGCCTGGGTCCCATGGGTATAGACCAGGTGTTCACCGACAAGCCTCTCCCCCAGGCTTGGCTCCAGAGTAGAGCCCCGGCGACCCACATTCAGGCAAGAAACATTGACCTCCTTGACTTGTTTTTGTTTATGTGAGTGTTTTGAACCACTCGTGGTCTGGTTTGTCACTTAGGACCAATTTGCCTCTGGAGAATGCCCTACCAAGGGCATTTTTTATTTCCCCTGACAGCATAGCTCCTAGCATCATTCAGGCACAGAAACTCCTCCACCAGGATATGGTGACGATTCTACGAGGAGATCAACTGTAATGACAGACAGAAAAGACCCTACTGTAGAACAGGCCATAYGCAGATGAATATGTTCATATGCAAGTGACCCTATAGTATCCAGTGTTATATAGTGAGGCTTTTTGCTGCCCAACGAAAAGTACAGTTTATGCTGTTGTTTTCTTTTTTTATTATTGCTAGATTTTTTTTTTTCCACTTTCACTGTAAACCTTTCAAGGTATATAAAATTGAAGTTTTTCTAAGTATATTTTTATAATTGTTTATTTTTCAAAGCACAGCCTAGACATTTTTTCTTGGGTGCAAGTAAACCAAAAAAATGTTTGGGAGAATTGTATTTTAATATACACACAGGAAAATTGTGATTTTTAGCTAGAAATCTGTTGTCAAAACAAGGTAACAAGGCACAAAAAAGTAATGTCAGTGAGGTGGTTTTTAAATTCACATACAATACAAACATGCCTGCCCTGAGCCTGGTTCTGCTGGAGGTTTCTTCCTGATTAGCAGGGAGTTTTTCCTCTCCACCGTTTGCTCAGGATGGGAGACTGTGATGAAGTGATTCAACACAATCTGCTGSTTTCTTCTTTAGATTATTCTTTTTATGTACAGTGCCCTGAGACAACSTATGTTGTGACTTGGCGCTATATAAATAAACTTGAACTTAAACTTGAACAATAACATAACATATTCAGACTGTGTGCTGTCTACCCAGAGAGGTTAAAAACTTGTCCTTTCACATTTTTGTAACAGTGGAAGAGCTTTCTTGGTGCAAACATTATCATTATATTCTGTAATTCATATCATCTAGCTGGCACCTTGAAAACATTACCATTTATAACATCATTAGGGACTGACACATTTCTAATAAAGAAGGATGTAGGCTTCACCTGCACTGTAAGATCTCTTTCTTTTATTTCCATCATGTCATGTACTCTCTTTTCATACAATCCAAGATCAGAGTCTATAGTGACAGTGCAACAGAGGGAGTGGAACTGATGCTAATGCCACCTCCACTTCCTCTCTGCTGACAGATAGAGACTGTGAAGACAAAGTGTGGAGACTACAAAAGCACAGGGATTCATTCATGCTCYGACTTGTTCTTGTTGCTGGCCGAGGAGCAATCAGCACTTCCAGACAGGCCCACTGCTTTCTTTAAGTTGTAATCAAGCAAATGAGCCCATAACTCCCAATGTTAATCAATGAATCTGTTTGCTGCACAAGAAGAAAGTATGTGTAAACAGTGCTGATGAATTATGGTGTAGATTACATAGCCTCAGASTCAGTGGAGGGGTTGATTACTTTATTCTTTGTGCAAACAGTTGATAGTCCAAGGAAATTTGTTTGCAGCTATTGTTCTCCATGTCATTTATGTGMAGCAGGTAAAA